TATAATCGACGAAATGAACCAACAACTGTCAGGAAAAAACATATGTTGAATGTAATAGTTAATCAAACAAGTGAAATTTTAAAAAGTATTATGACAACATATCCAAATATTTGGAGAATGATGGATGCTAGATATGAAATAATGCAACCTTTGATTCGTGGTCGATGTGCTTCTTTGATCAAAAAAATTTTATCCGAAGGTTATCATGGAAATAATTTAAAAATGGGAAAAAATTTGCATTTTCCTAGATTATACGAGTGGCCTTTGGTACCCAAAAAAAGTGATTTACAGTTAGCTATTGAATGTGTTGATGAAACTCTTAATGATTCTGCTATAGTTGGATACCTTTTGGATTATTATTCAGAAAATGCTATGAATAATGCTGGTTGGATGTTTTCTGTCTCTCAAGCTATTCCTGATTTATATGATCATAATATGGGTAAATATTCGATTAAAACACATTACTATCGTTGTTATTAAATGTATTACTAATTTTAATTTTGAATTTCAGATCACTATGTAAAAGAATTATTTCATAAACCTTGTTTTGGTTCAAAAGAAATACATATCGACATGTCCGTGATAAATCCCAGAGACTTACTTGAAGCACGTTATCAAACCATTTATGCTTTTGATATCACACCATCTCTTTTACGTAAATCGGATATGTTTAATCCCGCACAATTTAAAAAATTATCAATTATTCAGCGAATTTTGAAACTTAAAAGCATGCTATCGTTCGAGAAAATTGCCAGAGGAGCGGAAGAAACATTCGAGGATAAAAAACTTGGGTACATATGTATAGATTTTTTTACGTGTAAATAAATTTTGTATAATATTAATAATATCTTAACGTAATTGTATTATAATATATTATAGATTTTATGATATTATTAAACGAAATTCATCAACCATGTTAACTAATTTGCGTGTTGTTCCGCTTCCAGGTAACAATTATATCTTATAAAGTATCTAAAAAGAATTAATGTATAACTTTATATCCTTTACTATATATTACCTTAGATTTTACTGTATATCCTCCGGGAGTTATTAAAGATCATACCAAAGCTCCTTTCATATTCCGACTTTTAAAAATATTATTTTTGCCACGCAGATACTTCATCACTAAAGACTCTGAATGTAGTCCATTCCTTCGTGCAATCCGTCGTGATAACAGTGATGTTTTATTCAATAATCCTGCAATAGCCGCAATAATTGATTATAAATGGTCATCAGCTCGTGGCCATTTTTTACGTCACTCTAGTATCTACTTTATTTTCGCTATTTTATTCGCGATCCTTACTGGATTAACGGATGATGGATTAAATTTAGAACCTATTATGAATAAGGATTTATATTTGGGCCTTCAGATTATTTATTTTTATTTAGGTTATTATTTAATAATGACTGAATTTTCGCAATTAATGCGTGAAGGATTCTTTAGATATCTTGATTTATACAATTTACTCGATATGGCGTCTTGTATTATGCCAATGAGCGTGGTTATTACGTCAAATGTATTTGTGTTGTTGGATTCCAAAGATTCACTTCCCACAAGAGCGTACAGTGTTGCTTTGGCGTTTACCACCCTTATTATGTGGGGACAATTGGTATGTTTCATTTAATTTTACTTATTTTCATGAAATCTCATTAATTATAATTTTTTTCCTTTGTAGCTTTTATTATTACGATTCTTCAGAAGTAATACTAAAAATTAATACCGGTATCTATTATTTTATTTAAATATATCTTTCTAATTTTATTTTATTTGTTTTTAGGTACAGCGACTTATATCTACATTATCATGAACATCTTAAAAAAAATTTGGCCATTTTTAGCATTCATGCTAATAGTTGTCCTTGGTATAGGTCATGCAATGTAAGTTTATTAAAATAACTCTTGTCTCTTTTTTTTCACATTCCATAAACATTTTAATTGTTTTTTTATGTATAGGTACCTTCTATTACGAAATCCACCTGAAATAGATTTAGTTCCCAGCTTGTTAAATTATATGATATTAAATGCCTCAGACACAAATTCATCAACAAATAATTTATTTCCTGGAGTTATTATCTCACAAGCATTTAATCCTCTTGATATTTCTGATAATTACTTTTCAAGTTTTTGGAAATCACTTGAAAGTGTATTCTTTTGGATTAATGGTAGATGGGATCAACTTGATCAATGGAATTTTATACCTATTGATATATTGACTCTTCGTATGTATTAATAAAAGTATGCGTATGACAAAGTAATTTGTGGTATTATGAAGTTTTTTTTTTAATTTTTTTACTTTCATTTTTAAAATAGTTGCAAGTATTTTACTTGTCACAATCATGCAAAATATGTTGATTGCATTCATGACGTAAGTTATAATTACCTTTATCATAATATATTTTTTTTATTATAATATATTTCTTTTATCATAATATATTTTTCAACCTTTCTCAATATTAAACGAAAAAAAATAGTGGTGTATTCGAAGACGCTCAATCATCAGGTGAAGACGCAGTTTTAAGATACCGAGCAGATTTAATTTCCGAGTTTGAAACCTTGGAAAAATTATTTATATCGACACGAAAAAATCCACGTTACATTTATTACGTAGGAAAAACTGATGATATAACACATTGGTTATCAAAAGCTGAAGAATATAGGTTAACTCATAGATCTTTACTTAGTGAAGATATAGAATTAACACCTGATTGGGGTGTTGATTATGATCAAAATGAAGAAGAAAATGATGATGATTTCTTATTTGATGATTCTGCTAGTTTAAATGATCATACTATTAATAAATCTGATGGAAAGAAGAAAGAAGATAAAAAAGGTATT